AGATTCTTTCCCTGTATAATTATAAGAATCTATGTGTGTAAAATAAAAATATCGGTATTTTCCTTATAAGACTGTTGTGAGTTTAAAATAAACTAATGTATGTAAAGCACTTAGGAAATTGGATAATGACATACATATGTGTACCCCTGGGAAAACAGAAATTGGTCAATGCAAATTTGATACCAGAGAAAATAATAGAGCAATCATCAAATTACTTTCCATCACTCAAAGAAGCCCTAGATATTGTGTAACAATTCAAGTTGCATTTCTGAACAAACAAACAATGTCAATGTCAGAACAATTCAATTTTGTTTCTGTGAAGAATATTATTACACTGTGAAGGTAAGAGAAAAATAAAAGTATGAATACGTGGAACTAGCTGGGCTTTCTGTCTTCATGACATTTAAATAACTAGGCTGCAAGATATTGTTTAGACCAGCATGTCTCCTAAACAGAATTTTATAGAAGGTTAAGTGTTACATGAAACAAATTAAGTTTGGGAAGCATTTGAGAAAATAGCAGGACTATTGCAGGACTTCTCAAATATTTTTGATAAGGTAATGCGAATATCTAAGAGTCAGCATAATATACAGCATTTTTCCAAACTTTCTTGGAATTCTTTTAGGGGTTGTAGAACACAGTTTGAGAAGCAGAGGTGTGGATATTATATTATCTTTTCTGGAGTTATGGATCCTATGAAGTGATTATTTACTTTTTATTACTTTTTATAGGTAGAAAAACAGCATGTGCTTTTCCACAGGGATTTGAACTTAAAGAATGTTCCTTAGTACTTTTTTTTGTGAGAATCACAATTAAGCACAAAGTTGGACAAATCTGCTACTCCTTGGGAAACAGAAATGAAATTGAAAGGACATTACAAATAGATTTCTATACACAGAGTGAAGATCAATAGGGAGAAGAAGAAACATCTTTTCTATAAAATGTGAGTTTTGTAGATAAAATTTGTAAAAATAGTTTGATACACATGTATATGGTTTAAAAGACTGAGAGACACATTGGGTTTTAAAAGTATGAATAATAAAAATATCATCACAAAAGTTATTACTGCTACCTCTGCCAAGTTTATTGTAGTGAATTGCACAGAGAAGTATGTGTCTTACAGACATGGGTGGCTGTATTTTAGAGTGCTGGCATTCTGAACTCCTCACTCTTGGCTCTACATACTTCATACAAAAGCAGCCTTTTGAATTATTTTGGATTGCAGGACTTCCAGAGCCCAACGACTCTCAAGAAGAGCCCAGTCTAGGATAACTGAGTGGTACTTTGAGTGTTTTCAGTGGAGTGTGTGGGGGGAGTGTCTTATAATTCCCTGCTTTAATGAAGGCCTCCTACTCCTAGTTTCTTAGCAATAACCTGTGGGGTAAAGAGAAACTGTCCACCGTATTCATAAACTATCTTGGCTGCTTGTGGTTCTGCTAACTCTAGAGATTATCCAGTATAAAGAGCATTTATAGGCCACTGAGGGGTGGATGTTGAAAGACTTTTCTACTTGTTAGGTTTTTCAATTTTTGCATTAGGATATGAAATGTTCCAAGTATCCCTATTAAATGATTGACTCACACTGTACCAATTGGAGTCATGTGAGTGTGTGAGTGTGTATGCATGTATGCATGTGTGTAAGAAAAAGCTAATATAAAATGAGAATTGCAGAAGTTCATAAAGTTCTATGCTTGACTCAAAGTACCACACTCATGAATCAGAAGACTTTCAAGACAGGCAAATAGGTAAGAAACATGAAAATGTCATCATATGAAAAATGGAGTTAATGATGGTTAACCAGGAGAAGAAATGAAATGAGGGACAATACAGTTTTTTCACTACTTTAAACAAAAAAAAAAATGGAAATTAGGAGACATTCAACAATTGATACAAAGAAATAACTTTATAATAATTAAAACTGTCCAACAATGGATAAGGCTGCCTCATAAAAAAATCCTAAAAATAAAATTATTTTGAACACTTAATTTTTGACAGGTGTTATGCTAAGCAGATCACATTCATTAGCTTATTCAATCCTCTCAAAATCCCTATGAGGTAAGAACTGTTATTATCCTCACATTACAGATGGAAACTATGGGAGAGGTTAGCTTACTTTTTCAAGGTCACACAGCAAGTGAATGGATGAATTGGGATCCTGGAGCCAGTGCACCAAAATACAAGTAGCTTACTTTCATCCTTAGATGTTTGAAAGCACATCTGATGTGTAAGAAATTTGGGTGAAGGGATATTTTTCATTACAAGACTGGACTATTGCAGATCATTTCTAAAATATTTCATCTAATTTCTGCTGAGAATTAAAACATGAAATTGAACCCCTTTTTGAATTGGTCAATGCTCCATCTGTCACCTTCTAATTTTTTTTTTAAAGCTTTTTATTTTGAAACCAAGTCTTCTTCTATTTTGAAATATATATTGAATTGTCACAAGTTGCTCTACTCTAATGTGCTTTACTGTAATCTAGCACATTGTTTTGTACCTATTCCACTATTTACATGCACTCTTGAGTCTTTTAACCAAGTTCCCCTCATCCTTTCCATCTTTATCCCCTTCCCATCTTCTGGTATCTACCATTACCCTCTTTTCTTACATGTAACAGAATCTTGTCCCTCAGCCACCTTCCTCTTTTAATAGAGGTGTGGAAAAGTCTAGGGAAAGCCAATGAGCACTAGGGAAGAATGGACTGTGAGAACCATAAGGAAATATCCAAAGAGGTTTCATTCTTTTGGCCACACAGAGTGACTTGATGATCTTCAGTATGTAAAGTGTTAGGGGTATGTAAGTCATTCCCTGAGAATATAATAAGAAATCCATTTTTGTGAGAAAGCTTGTCTAAAGCTAGGTCTTCCCAGTGAAAATGCCTTTGAGATAATCAAAGACTGAAAGCATGCTTACGGGTACAAGAACAGGGTCATGTTAGAATAGAAACTGAAGCTTTCAATAGCAGCCTACCCCTCTTGCCTCTCCAGTGGCCTTGGCAAATTTGCCTGCCTTGAGGATGAGCCAAAATACCAGTGTTTGTGAACTTCACTCTCTTCCCTTCTGTCCTGCTAAAGAAGCAATAGACTCTGAAAATAACATCTGAGCTATTTTCATTTGGGGAAATTTTAAACTAAATTTGACAACTGTGGTGATAGGGATTCTTAGGTAGCTGGCCAAAGAGTATTCCAACAAACAACCTTGTAAGAATCTGTTCGAATTGAGTCGATAGCCCTCAACAATTGAGGAAAGCCCACAGACTCTCTATGAATAAAATCACCTTAAAAAGTCAACATTTCTGCTCAACAAAGTTTTACTGTATTAATTTCAGAAGTGAGAAGTTGGTTTTTCTTTAACACAGAAAAGAACTAAATAGTTTTACAAAGAGAGTTTGTTTGTTTTTTTTAACTTTTGAAGGATTTTTGTCTGCTTCACAGAAATTTTATGAATGTATGAATTGTATGTGTCCATACTTCATGGTTTGTTCCTTGGTCTATTACTCTTCTTTTAATTTGATAAGTTTCTGGTTCCTAGGATATTCATTTTGTTTCTCACAGCTGTTTTTAAGTCCCTGATAACATTCTTGGTCTTACATGATGCCAATGGCTTTTCAAGTTCTCATTCCCCTGTGCCCACTGTCCTGCTGCTCCTGTTACTTCTCACCAAATGAGTGTATTCTGTCTTCATCCTTTCTCTTACTTTTATTTTTCATTTTACTTATTTATGATTTTTGGCATTTGTTCACCAGAAACACAGAAAGAGTCAGAGAGACAGAAAGTAATAAATCATCTCCCGGGGGGATGGTCATGCCGCATTCCCTTCTCCTCCATTCTCCTTTCGGGATTTTGGGCACTTATGCACATGAATATGACGTGAATTTTAAGCTGCTGCATTAGGGACTTGAACTGTGGCCAACTATGTGGGAGTCCAGCGATGTAACCATTACACCATTCTCCACTTTTTAAAGGGGAAAAACATTGGGCTTTTGTAGGTGGCTAATTGCTCCAGTCATGGAATTGGGCTAATTATTCTGGAAATAATCACTTTCCTCCTTAAAAATGTCAGATCCTATTTTCCTATGACTATGGAAGACTTTCAGTGAGACACGTGTGAATGGTGTTGGGGCATCTCATATGGTTCCTGTAAACAAGATAATTCCTATGCCCTTGCATATGTACACAGAATTCCCTTGTCTTTTTCTTTATTTTTCTTCCTTTTTTAAGGCTTTTGCCATAAGTCACCCCAGGCAGATGACCATGCCACAGTCTCTTCTCCTTTATTCTCCTCCTGGGATTTTGGGCATGCACACATACACGCCTAGTGTGATTTTTTTTTCAAGCCACTGGGTCCAGGACTCAAACCACGGTCAGTCATGTGGGAGTCCAAAGTTGTAATCACCACACCATCTGCTGTCCCCACAGAATCTCCTTTCTTAATGTGGTATTCATGTGGCTACTGTCATGTTCTTTATCTAACTGTTGCCTCTACTCTTAGGATCCATGCAGGAAAAGTTCAACTGCTGAAGTTTGAAAAAAAGCATTATTTGACTAGGCAAAGTTAGGGTCTGGTTCAAATTGCTCTTGGGTTATCTAGTATGGGGAATGGAATTATATACATTCAAAGAATTCCTGGAAGTTGTTTACAGCTAAAATTAAGTTCGGGTTGAGAGTTCTCCTTGGACTTTGTTATTTTAATAGAAAATTAATTTGAGGAAGGACAAAAAATAAAATCACCTCCTGTTTCATCCTTCTAGAAAAAAAATTACTTCTGTGACTTGAAGAATCATTTCCCAACACATTTAACGTGAATGCTAGAAGTCTGAATTTAACAGATGAGCAGAGTGCTAAAACATGCTTCCAAGTGGTAAAATAGAGACGAAAATGGTAGCTACATTTTGAAGAGAAATGCGGCAACTGATGAGAGGAGTAAAATCACAACTGCAGGTGAAGTTGAGAACTATCAGCCCGTCAGGTACAGAATATGGTGTTAGCAGAATTACTCACAGGTATTTGCAGTGCCTTTGGGGATGGGGAGGTACGAGCCTGGACTCCAAGGCCGGCCCTGATAATTCTTCTTGCACTTCCCACAGTCTGGACCTGTAGTGTTGTGCTCACATTCACATGTCAGTTTGCTGTTGTCATACACACACACAGTGGCGTGGAGATTACACTTGCACCTAGGCAGAGGAGAAACAAAGAGTCCATTGTAAGTCAGGTTGGTCTCAGTGACCACTGAGGCTCTACCGGCCTATCTACTTGGGTTGTGGCTCTCAAACCATGCAGGGCTTTAGTGCTACATAGGAGCATTTGGTACAATATAGACTTGCAGGCCCAGCCCTCAAACATTTTTTGAGTGTTTTTCAAAGGTGTGGGTCGGAGGGTGTTACGATGAAAGCTGTTCTCACACTAGATGTGAGCCTAATGCCATAGGTTCAGTGGAGGCCTGGAGCTCTCATAAGACTTCTGTGTTCCACATTCAAGGGTTTCTCAAGGAATATTCAAAATATTGCTACTAGTGAGAGTTTTAATTTTTTTTTTGTATCAAATCTATGACAATTTCATTATAGTTTTACCTGAGTTTAAAGGATAATGCTACTGTCTTTCTTTTCCTCTTTAAATCATTAAGACTATTTTTATTTGCTAAAAAAAAAAAAAAAAAAGATAACTATTAGGGCCAGTAGGTAGCCTGGTGGTTAAGGCACTGGATTCCCACATGGCTGACTATGGTTTAAGTCCTGAACCAGGTGGCTTTCTTTTTCTCTCCTTCTCCCTTTTTTTTTCTTTCTCTGGTGAGAACACATGCCCTATGGCAAATTAAAATAATGATAATAATAAAAATTAAATAAAAAAAACACAACTATGAAATACATTAGTTATTCATACTTACTCTTATAGGCCAAAGAGGTTGTAATCATGTGTTTTTACTCTGGGCTTTGAAATGACATTTTCTCATATCAGAGGAGTTTTTTGACCAAGGCCTCTAACTGTCTTGAGGTGAAGTGAGACAGTAATCCTCAGGCTTCCTGCTCACAGCAAATAAAGTAATACAAGGGTCTCTCCTAAACAGGCCAAAAACTCTAATAAAAGGTGCTTAGGAGCCTAGAAAATAAGAAACTATATGTGGTAGGGGTTTGAAGTCAATCCCTGTGAATAAAGCTGTTATATATGAGAGGCAACGGGATATGCACTTTCCACAAAAATACATTCCCATACCTAAAGTCTTTGTAAAATTGCAAAGGCTAGCCTGGTATTTGGTGATGCAGTAGGTTATAAATGGTATTACACTAAACACGGGCCACATCTTCTGGAAAGGTAAAACCCAAGTTGACGAGGTGCCCATGACCAGTGGTCAAAATAATGTAGGAAGAGATGTGTCCACACGAACAAGATAGTCTGAACATTCAGGCCTGGGGACAAAGTACCAAGATATGTCAAAGAGCCTGAAAATGTGTGTGTGTGTGTGTGTGTGTGTGCATGTTTGCGTGTGTGTGTATGTGTTTTTACAAAATGACCCTGGCCTCTTCCATGAACAAGGACAAAAATACAGAAACTCAAGTTTCAATAAAGTGGTACATCCATGATCTGTGTGGAACACTGACCCATACTTACAACAAGGAAGAAAAAACACAGCTAAGCTCTTTTTATTTTATTTTATTTTATTTTATTTTATTTTATTTTATTTTATTTTAGAGAGGACATGTGTACTCACCAGAGAGACAGAGAAGAGGTGAGAAATCACCCCCCCCGGGGGGGGGCACGCTTTTATTTTATTTTAGAGAGGTTTTTGTTGTAGGGCATGTGCGCTCACAAGAAAGAGAGAAACAGAGAGACAGAAAACGAGAAATCACCCCCCCCCCCCGGGGGGATAGCCACGCCGCAATCCGTTATCCTCTATTCTCCTCTCGGGATCTTGGGTACGTGTGCACACACACCTGGTGTGAGTTTAAGCCACTGGGTCCAGGACTTGAATCGCAGTTGACTACATGGGAGTCCAGAGACATAGCCATTATACCAACTGCTGGTCTCCACAGCTAAGCTCTTATTGAGAACTGACCTCTTTTCTAACTGAATGATATAGTCCTTAAACTAATGGCCATCTACTCAGTCCACTCTCATAAGACCAAGAGTCACCTTCATTGGGGGGTCTACTAATATTTCTAATACTCCTAGCTACCTTCTGCCTTTCATATGCTTGTGCATTCTAACAGGCTGGAAGGCTACTACTTAAAAAATGTCTATTCAACTCAGATACATAAAAATCACGTATGATAAGTAATACTTGTACAATCTTTTAAAGAGGTAGGAGAAAAAATTATTCAGTTAAAAAGATGATGTTTAATTATGGGTTAGATCCTATAACAATTTCCTATATGCAGGGAGTTATTTGTGCCAGGTTGCTTATTAAAGGATCTTTTTTCCTTCCAACATTAGCACCCTTATTTATGGGTGCTTATATATATGGAGCATGTTTGAAACCTAAGTGAAAGAAGCAGCAGGTTATACTGATTTACCACCCTATCTGGTGTTAAAAATTCCAAATGAGGAAATGAACAATGTGACCCTTGAAACTATGCTGGTTTTACGTGTGAAGACCAAGAATGCAAGTAGTAGTTGTAAATGGAATTATAAATATTGTAACTGTTAATACTTCCACACTTGTAGTCACTCTCTGAGTTACAAGCAATTTCCATTCTAAAGACATTATATTAGCTGAGAAAATATTCTTTGAATAACAAAAGGAGGTAAAAGGAGAAGAGAAGAATGTTTAGTCTTACTGTTCTCTGGTTTCTTCTCACTAATAGTTGGTTCTCACCTGTCCAAATGCTTATTAGTCTTTCAAGTCTGAATTCAATTCATATCCCTTCCCTGAAATCTATTCTTACCACTGTAGATACCCAGAGCTCCACTCCTCTGATTTCCTTAATGCTTCTGTTTGGTTTGATTCATTGTTACTTAAAGCTCTTAGTGCTTTTAAGATTTTTTTACTTGCTGCACAAGTCACTCCCATCTTAAGGTAAGGTAATAGTCACCTTGTATCTGGCCTTCACCTCCAGTTACTTTTACATTCTCATCTCCCTTCTTGACTTTCCCACACTTGTAATCTGTTTTTCATCTCCTACTCATTCTTTCCAACTGATAATAGCCTTGCTTGCCAAGATCACTCATGACCTTCTTGTTGGAAATCTAATGTAGTCTTTTTCTCGCCTTATTTGACCCCTTGGAGCAGTGAACTATGAACCACTGCCTTTTTTTCTGACACTCTTCCTGCCACATACTCAACCTCTTAATCAGGGATCGCCCCCTGCCTGTCCTGTCCACGTGCTGCTCTTTGGGTTATGGATAAGCAGAGTCAGCACATCATTCTTGGACACTCTTATCTAGGTAGTCCATACAATTCCTCTCTGTGAGCTTAATTTCCTAAGAGTTGTAGAACTTTTAAAGAGAACTTTCTTCATCTTCCCCCTGTTCCCTCAAATGATACATAGAGAACAGGCTCAACATTTTGAAAAAATTTTAGGACATTCACGGATTCTCAATTATCCATAGGGATACATGGAAACCCCTCTCTTCATTACCATCTGATGAAGAATATCTGATCAATGAATTGATAAGTCCTGGATATGTACCACTATCACAGATTTCTCTCCTGGACTTTGGATATATTCATCAACATGCTTCCTGCACACATCAAACTCGACACATGAAAAATTGAACTCTGACTTCCTTTCTCAATCCATCCCTCCTATGATTTCTGTCAGCACATTCTCAGTAATTGTTTCACTTTCCACCCAATTAACCAAGGATGACTTCTCCTCCCTGTCCTACATCTAATCTGCAAATCTGTCCTCAAATCCTCAGATTCCTTTTCCTTGATGATCTCCCCAAATTCCCACCATTCTAGAAATTACTACTTCCTTAAATGAGTTCATCATTATATTTGATCTGACTCATTGCAACAGCTTCTAGACAGAACGTAGTGCTTTAGTCCGACTCCCACACTCCTTCTTAGCCCAGTCCCAACACAATAGTAAAAACTTCCTTTTACACAAGTACATCCGGGTCAGTCCTGGCTTAGAAGCATTGTAAATTTCCTATTATTCTCAGGATAGACTCTAAGCTCTGTAACATGGCTTGCAAATCTCTTAGCAATTTACCTCTTTTCTTTCTACAGCTTCATTTATTTCACTCCTAATTCCATACCTACCTCTTCAACTTGGTCTTAAAGACATCTTACAAACTTTTTTCCCTGAAAAATAATTATTTTATTTCTTGGTTTTCTTTTTTTTTTTTTTTGAGAGGTTTTTGCTATAGGGCACATGCACTCGCCAAACAGACAAAGAGAAACAGAAAGCGAGAAATCACCCCCCAGGGGGGATGGCCTTGCCACAATCCCTTCGCCTCCAGTCTCCTCCTGGGATCTTGGACATGTATGCAAATGTGCCCAGTGTGAGTTTTAAGCCACCGGGTCTGTGACGTGAACTGCGGCTGACTACATGGGAGTCCAGCGACATAAGCCATTACGCTAACTGCTGGTCCCTTGTTATTTTTTAATTTCACTAGAAAAAAGGAAAGGGAAAGTGAGAAAGCAAGTCACCAGGTCCAGGCCTCAAATTGTAGTCAGCTATGTTGGAGTCCAGCACTTTAACCATAATGCCACCTGCTGGTCCCACAAATAGGTTCTTCTGGATACAACATTGTGTTTTCCTCCTCTTACCTCTTTTATGTGGATGATTCTTCCCTTCAATATTAACTTAGATATCTCAGTGTCTGGCTCCTATTTGATATTCAAAAAATAATTGCTGGTCAACTATCTGAATGCTCCTATGACCCAGCAGGAAGTCTTTGCTTCATGTTCCTATTACACTAGGCAAGGCTAGTTACATGACAAAGGCCATATTATCCCTGCTATAGACACATACTGTATTTTAATTCCTTATTCTGTCATTTGCACAGGAGCATAACCTCCTGGGAGGAAGCAGTCACGTCTGCCTTATTTATTGTAACATCCCCAGCAGGTGTCAAGGTGCTTTGCACATAATAGGTGTTCCAACAAATGTAATGACTGAGCAAATGGGAATAAGAGAACTTCGGTGCATGTTCTACTGTGTCTAGCATGGTCATGAACTAATAATAGAGAATTAATAGGCATTGTAGTACATCAAAACTGAATTGCATT